AGCCAGGGGTAGCTGATCCCATCATCTGTGACGTTCATTATCATCAGAGGAAGAAAGCAGGCGAGGAAACAGAGGAATATTGTAAGCATCAGAGTTGTTAGGCGGGAATCTTCTTCCTTTTCTCTTGCCGTTTGGCCGCTCAGCTTACTGTAAACAAAAATGAAAAAATCAATTAAGGCAAAAATTAAACAATGCTCTTTAGAGTTACTGGTAGTTATTTGCTGCATTGAGACTCGTTAATTGATCTTTAATAGTCCCTTAGGAAAATGTGTCACGACCTTAGAAAGAATAAACCAGAAGTTCTTATGACGTAAGTGACAAGAGTGAGGTACCTAAGCTCTATTTCTCTATTACTATACTTTATAAGCTGGCAACACATTCCTCTGACAGTTATCAGTATTAACATCAAATCAGACCATAAACAATATCTGTGGTAAACAAATAGCTCACCCGCATACACACCTGCGGCCCTCGAGCTTCCTTTTGCTTTCTCGCACGCGCCAATAAATGCAGGAGTAGGAGACGATGATGACGACACATGGCAGCGCGAAACCAAACACGAACAGATACTTCTTAGGAGATAGCCCGTCTTTCGGCAGGATTGTACACGAGAACGTGTCATGCTCCAGACCCAGCTGACCCCATACTCCAAGCAGGGGAGGGATCTGAACAAACAATTAATAAATAAACCAGTGTGTCCACTAAATCTCGTGTGAACAATAGTACCATGTAAGCGGATACATGTTCAGTTATTGTTTGCTTTAATAAAGTTATTTAAGTCTCTAAAAGTAATAAAAGAATTTTTATTTAAACGTAACATCACTCAGGCCATATTTCAAGTCCAGTACTTAACCCTTGTGTCAAACGCTTTTTATTTATGTATATTTAAAGTAATACATCCCGCATATCTTTATCGTTTAAATTACGCGGCAATTACGCCTCAACTGATTTACATATACTTAAATAAACACGAACCCCCAGTACGGGTCGTTCGGACCTCACTCGATGACAGCCATGAATAAAACAACAGACTATAAAACGCAAGACCCCGCGCGGCGCAACCGAACGAAACAATTGAACCGAATTGTTGCCACACTCCAAAACGCCCACATACTCGGCAATTAAATGTCTCTGTAAATTAACTAAAACCTCATAACTTTTCACGCTCAATTGCGCTAATGTGTTAAATTATGATGAGTTATTAAACGTAATAAGCTTTTATTTGCGTTTATTTAAGAAGGTAATTGCCTAATTTAATGTGCTTGGTGAAAGGTAAACGGCGTTAATAGACCTGGAGCCCTCAGAAACGTGACTGTATGAACGTAAGGGTTTTTTCACACCCTAGAACACATGCATTCTTGTTTCCTATACTAGGAAGTCTACAGGGGGATCCAATTCTTCAAACTATGAATCATATCGTAATGCAGGAAAAATAACAGATAATAAAAATGTACTAAAAGCAAATGATAATAAAAAAATTATGTAAATGCGGGACTAGCTCTACTAATAAACAACACGGACGCTTCCTAATTCGGGACAATTAAACGTGTATCATAAGCGTGCCGGTGCAATGAACCAATTCCGACTTCCCGCCCTCGAGTAAACTCGAGTTTGACGTTCATATGCATGATGCGAGCTTCTACACAACACATCAAATTATACCTACTACAAACTTAATAGTTAATTTTTTAATATAAGCTAACCTAACTTATAAATCTAATCCAGTAAAGTTATGATGCCCACTTTTTGCATAATGGTTTTTCTATGACAATTTGACAGGTTGACAACCGAATATAAATTGCAAAAATGCTAAAGTCGGTTTGTATAAAGTTGTGTAAAATATTGTCCAAATTTGAAATAGTCAAAATTCTATTATCATAATACAGAGCTTTTGAAATCATAAATAAATAAGTTGTATTCGATACATTGCATATTGCGTTTGCCATTCGTTTTGTTTTTAATTTAATTCAGAGCAAAGTTTTAATTACGGCCTGCCTCTTGACTCACAATCGAAGCACTTGCGTTCGGAAACGCACACTTAACGCAGTCTTGTGGTTTTATATTTTCTTTTATGAATCATTACGATGTGACTAACAAAATGTAAAAGGATGTCGTGACTTTTTAATTTATTTGTTTAGTCTCCGAATCTAAAACGGGAAGTCGTCATTTTATGGGAATGTTGCGAACCGTTGACTAATTGGCCGCTGATGGTTTTTCTTATTTTTTCAATCGCTTATTTTGTTTTCGTTCGGAAATATTGTTACAATATGGCGCCATACTTGAATTGTAAGATTGTGTATTCCGATGGATTCTCGGGAGACGATTGGCAAAGGTGAATAGCATACAAATAAATTGATATTATCGGTCAATAAACCAACTCTACTACTGGGATATTTAAGTCACGACGTCAGTCTATTTATAATGGAAAATTATGCAAAATACTAAAGGAAGTATTAGAAATTGATTTGTTTTTGCAAACTATTACTGGCCCTCAAATAATAATAATTTATTTTTCCGAAATTCTGTAGCTTCACATTGATAGAACGATAGATTAAGTAATAGCAAAAAGTAAGCACTTCATGAAGTAAATATCATCAACAAAAAAATTAAATAAATTGATAATGTTTCTATGAAGATGTGTGGAGACATTTTATATTCCTTAGGCGCTACGAATACTATTAGAAGCGTATCTTATTAATAATTTCGTTCGTGTCATTGCAACGCGGATATGCATCGTTGTTTTATCAGATTGTCGCGTTTGGACAGTTTCAATGAATAATTAAATTAATTTGATTTATAGATGGTTTAGGTACTACTAAACGGTTTGCTTGATACTGGGTATTTTAAATACAGGATGTATTACGATGTTATATTATAATAATGCCGAATTACCATAAAACTTTATGTTTAAAAATAATACTAACTGTTCATAAGATTTTAAAAAAGAGGTTTAAAGAAGCAAGAAGAGAGAATGTATAGGCGCTTTAATCGGGCAAAGGCACATGGCAAAATATTTCACGTATGTACCCAATTCTCATATAAATTTGGTACGTACCATGAGGCCGAAGGAGACGAGCCAGATGAGGAGCAGCTGGATCCAGATCTTGGTGCTGGTGTAGATCTGCGAGTACATATCATAGTACGCTATCAGCGTGTACCTAAAACAAGCAACAGAAAGAAGTTAAATAAGTTTTTTAACTAGATCTCTTCTATAATCCATCCAGAACCATTCAGTCTCTTTATCTGTTAATAATCATACGTATGCCGACAGGAGGGGGGAGGGAGGCAGCTAATTTAGTATTTTTTTTAATTTTCTTGATTAACGACTTGCCCAGATCTTCAGCTAGCAACGCACATAACGTGAAAATTTCTCTCTTACAATCTTAGTAAGATGCACATGTTGCAAAGCAATTTGTTATAAGATTTTTATAGCAATGTACTTGATAAAGCTATAAATCGCTTTGCATCGCCTCTGTCGCCGCAATCACATCGCGTTATCGGTGCTCGAAAAGCACTCAGCGGCGTGGGAAAGCGCTTGTTTGTTCGGGATAAGATAAATATGTGGCAACACAAACGCAATCTGAGCGCTAACTTAATCACTAGTTAATTTTATAAACAAGTGTCATTTAACGTGTACTTTACTATAATTTACTGAGAAATCTACATTAATAATCTCCTTAAGAGTGCACACCTTTGACAAAACTATCGCACAAATGTTTCTCGCTTTAATTCCTATGATTTTTAGTTGTGCAACTAAACAGTTGTGGGCTGCGAAACAATCGACAGTCGAACAGCAGTAGTGAGACAGTTTATTCAAAGATTTGCGCCCGCTCTTAGTCATTTGTAGAGGGTAACTCAACTAAAAATGACCTGCAGATCGGCACAATTTGTACCTGCATCGTCATGATTTGAGGGTTACCAAGTGTTTTCCGGATCGGCTCACAAAGTGGACTCATAGTTGTCGTACATAAAATAGATCTGAGAGCTAGGCAGCTCCGTTGGCCTACGGGTCAACTAGGCAGTTGACCCGTAGGCCAACGGTTCAAAACGACAAGATCTGAAATTCAACAGTTCAGAAATGATTTACACACCTCTAGCTTACGTAAGAAAGATTTGTTAAACAAATAAAATGCAATAAATTAGTCCTCGAAGTAATTACTTGTAGAGGATGTTATTGGACTTATAACTTACTATCTTTAACCGGCGACTACTCTCACGTGAAATTAGATAATAATATAATCACAGCCTATATTATTCCCTGATAACGTAGTTTTTTAATGGTGAAAGAATTGTTGAAATCGGCACAATGGTTTTTGAATTATTGCAATTTTCAATACGTACAAAAATACAATTTCCTACTTATGATATTACGAGTAGTATAGATGTTATAGTATCAGAGTTGGGATTACAAACTGAATTAATAAAATAAAAAAATCCTGAAGGTATGAAGGGCATGTGGCAAGGCGGTGTTACCACTGTGAGCAGAACAAGCGGTCCTTGTGCTCCGGATACTGACCCGCTCTCTGAAGACACGTTTATTTTTATGTGAAATGGTGCAAGACATAAGCGATTGCGGAAAGTTCAATGTTGTAAATCTAAATAATTCTAATTCTGGTATTTGGATGCTATAAGATACATTGATATTCATTATTGATATATCGTGAGTTAAATTTGTAAAAAAAAATATCTGAAAAAAAATCAAAATATGTTAACCGCGTGTTTTAATATAGTTGAAGCGGCAATAAAAGACTACGATTACGATTATCGAAATCGCTCTTAAAAATCTAAATTTGAATATTGATTGTTGAGTATTGAAAATGTTAGATTTAAATTTTCAAATTTTTTTAATCTGTTCATAATTTCTTTATATTTTGTGCCACGCGCTGCTCTGTGTAGTGTTACAATTTCAGTTTACAGATGTTGAGACTTAAATTATATTCAAATGCGACTGTTCTGTGTATGACAGACATCAAAGTCAATTAAATGCCGATTAGATTTAACAAAAAATTGTAGCTCCATAATCAAAAACAATAAAGTAAAAAAATGTTTGAGTATTATGAATTACTCGCGACTTTACCCGCATGACATTAAAAAAATAATGAAAAAAGTAGCCCATGTTAATCACAGATAACGGTGCTTTTAAATGGTGAAATAATTTTTGAAATCGGCCCAGTAGTTTTTGAGTTATAAAATTTTAAAAATACAAATCTTTCCTCCGTATAATATTAGTAGATACGTATATACTGTATAGACTTCGCTAGAGGAGTGGGATAAGGGGGCAGGAAGCAACCCCCTCTCCCCCTTAAATCATTGGCTAGCGTCGCCTATAGTATATTATGATGATTTGTCAAACATCGCAAAATATACGTTACTGAAAGTAACTAGTATGTCTTTATACAGCTATTTCAAACTTACAATAAGAATTTAAACTGCTACACGATCCTGTATTGAACGTCGTAACAAAAGATACATTGTGATGAAATAGGGAATTTGCATGTCTTAACATAACAACACTGATTGAACTATTTTATGACGTAAAGGCCTCGTTCTTGTTGGTTTGAATAGGACCAATATTATAATATAACGTAGCATACATGTGTACTTTTCTTATATCTTTGGCTGTGATTATCAAAATCAATTATTAAAAATCTAAAAGACTATGTTCATCCAATGTGCAAGTAAAAAATGTTATCACGCATGCGTGAAATTAAAAGTCGAGATTATTTTTCCCGCGCATACACATGACATTTGTGTTGCAATGTTGCCAGTTTTCTCTCCGTTTTGCCGACAAATTGCAGTATAATTATAGACCGCTGTGGTACAGATAAATAATTACTTTCTTTGTGAGATTAGAAAGTACGATATGTGTTTTAATTGTTGTTTAAAAATGTGACATTTTAAATTATAACATTTCTGCGCTGTTTGTTGTCATTTAATTTGTAATTTGAGCAGAAAATGAATGAAATTTAGTATTTCAAAGTATTTTTTTTACGTTTTGTAATCGTATGCGTCATAGATTCGCCTCATTTAATTTCTGAGAAATAAAAAAAAACAATAATGATGATAGTTTAGTGAAAAAAAATCTTTATAGTGATGTTTACTTTGATGGGAGAAACTAAATTAAGTAAATGTGTCTGCCTTTTAATACATTGAAAGATTTATTAACAACAAAATTCGGTCAGGGTATCGGTTACAAGGAAATGAAGGAGAGTATCAAAGAGTGTCTGGGACGCGTCACTCCTCATCCGGCTTTTAACATTTTTATGTTCTCACACGAAGTGTAATCAAATTTTCTGACCGGAGACAATAAAGTGGAAATATTTTTCAGTCACGATACGATGGAGGTTAAATTGTTTGTCAGATAATATTTTATGTCCCGTATAAACCCCCCTTAAGGTATAAGAAACTGTAATGATTACATGATTGGTGGTTCGATTAGAAAAAAGGTTCTGCAAAAGCGTTCTTTTTAAAAAAAAATATAGCAAGAAAAGATTTACTTAAAAAAATCATAAACTAAAAAATGTAATTAAAAGAGGGCAGTAATAAATCTGACATTTAATATTTTGTTTCAATAATCGTAAAGGATCGTTGTAAATCACATGAAACATTAAACTGGGGCAGCTTTTCAAACAATGGACGCACTTTGATGTAAATTGAAATGTTGCCATCGTAACCCGCTAATCCATTACAAAGTTGTCGGGAGATTTAATGCGTGACATACGGGCGTTTAGTTTACGTTTCGTCATTTAAACTAAGTATTCAGAATCACTTAATATTATATTGGATGAATGTTTGTAATTATGTATAAGTGTTTTAATGCATTAAAGTAGGGTAATGTACACGTAATCGAATTTGAGTTTGTGTAAAGAATATGTTTTAGGTTTTACTAGAATTAGATCTGGGTTACAGGTCATACAGATTTCTGAAAATCGGGTTGTTTAATTATTTTCAAATCGTTTAATATTAAAAGTAAAAACAGTCTTTAAAAAGTTACTACGAACCAAAAGTTTTAGTATTTAACATCCTGTTTGCAATCCTATAATTTCTTTGTCTATATTTCCGTGTTTGTTTTTGTCTCATAATTAAGTTCCTATTTCAAATTTATATTCATTACATGAAAAGATTGTGTTGAAATAACTAATAGTGTTCTTACAAGTGTGTATTTCTATTAAATTGTCTAACACACTTAGCAAAGTTCCGTTCTGTACTTTTGTTCGTTCACACCTCTCATTATTCCACTTCAGTGTTGCCACTAGTTATTTTTTGTTTTACAACTTAATTGATTGCTTCGCTTTTTGAGTTGCTGTATGACGTCATAAATACGTAGTTTATTTCAACGCCACTTCCCGCGTCTTTTAGAATACAATGAATAAAAGGACGTATAGTTATTTTGAACATATCTATTATTTAAGACTGTAAATGTAAAGAGGCTACGTTACGTTACACAATAATTTTTGTATGACTGAATAAGGTATACTTCTAGAGACATTTCTGTCTTGAGTAATTACAATTCTTATTAGTGAAAGTGGGCTAGTAGATGGCGTTGTTTTAGCGCGGGAAATGTTCTTACCTGTTTATGGTGATAGCGACCATGGACAAGAGCGATACGGCCTCGTTGCCGTAGAACACGAAAGCGAACATCTGACACAAGCGTGGGCCCAGAGTCCATTGCTGCTTTATGTACCTATTTACAATAATATCCATGTTAAAATTTACTATAATTAATTAGTTCATAAAGTTTATTCTCATCAAGAGCGGGCGCACACTTTTGACAAAACTATTGGGCAACTGTTGTGCGATTGTCGATGTTTCGCAGCCAATTCAACTGTTTAGTTGCACAACTAAAAATCGAGCAGTGCGCACCTTCATATAAGCTCATAGAAATCAAAGCGCGACTAAAATAAACTATTTAACTACGTCGTAGTCTTTGACTCCAAAAATCAAACAAAAAAATGGGACCCACCTGCAAGCAT